ATCGGACAGCATCAAGAGCTTGCTAAACACCTGTATTCTCTTTTAAAACAACGACACCTTTCTTTCTTTACAACTGTTGACTGACTAAATGTGTACGTCAGGCGCCCACGGACACATTGATCCCGGCAGCCTGGGTACAGCCAGTTTGGGAACAAGGACTTGGCAGGCATGAACATTCACCCGGATTCTGGCTGCCCTCGAGCGAGTTGCCTCAGCTTTCTGGAGGTAAATCGGAGGGAGCCAGGACGGTTACTACCGTGACCACTGTGCCTTAGTTTCCTCCTTCGCAAAGTGGGAAGAGTCCCCGATGGCTGTGAGCAGGAGGCTGCGGGGATTATCCGCAGATCCTGTGAAATGGTAAAAAACACGCACCAGCCGAATAAAGTATATGAGGGGAGATACCGAGTTCTTGTTCATCATTTTGTTTCTCCGTTTTCCCTTTACTCCCATTCTCATTGCTTATTGATTTTTGTTTCCAGCTGACGTACGAGCGACAGCCTGTATTAAGACAACAGCAGCTGAAGCATCAGTAAAGTCAACATCGCTATATACCGTTCAGAAACCTGCTGTTTGATAATGCACGTTTACCCCTCCAAGAAACGCCTTAGGAAAATGCAACCACTCCTGAAGGGGGACTAGCACTAGGTGGGTGGGCTTCAAAAAATGCTTCTCTGCATGATGTCCAGTAGGAGAATCCCTTTCAAAACCAGTGAGATGGATGAGCTGTCATCGACCCACTTCATACCCTGCTTTGCAGGACACTCATAAAATGGGGAAAGGACAGTTCTGGTTTGTTCAACACAAGATAAAAATGCGTGAAAGGTGATTGACATGAAGAAACTGGAAGCATGGTAAACTACTTGAAGCATACGCTTCTGGAAGCACTGATCTTCTACTGATCTCAGTCGTGTGTATCCTCTAGTTGCTGAAAGACTAACCACCACTTTAAAACAATTGAAAGCCCTATATATTGTGAGTATAAGCTTTTAATTAATTTGCCATATTACACGTATCAACAGCTAGACAGAACTGGAGCTTAACAGCAATTTATCTTCAATCTGGTTTTGAAGCCAACACAAATATTTCTCCATTTCACCCTGCTTTTGACTCACCCTGTAAGTAGAAGCAAAAGGGCCCAAACCACTGCTGGCATTAACGTCACAAAAGGTGTAACCTGGTTTAAATCAGCGGTACTGACTCTCCTTGTGCCAGCAATGAACTGGGATCCCTGTCTTCACTTGTAGCACTCCGCAATTAAAAGAATTTGATGTAAGAGTAATTATGAATGAACTCGTGAGACTCTCACTCTCACGTGAAATGACAGAGCAACAGGCTTGCATGGTCCTGAGGCTGTGTTTTGACGGCTAGGCAGAGACCTTCCCCCCTTCTGGTTAAGGAAAATTAAGTGTGCTCTCTCACCAAAGCTACGTGCACTGTGCAAACCCCACACAAAGGTTCCCACCGAGGTGCT